TTCAATTTAAGTCTGAATTTGGCAATAAGGAGTTCATGATCTGAGCCACAGTCAGCTCCCAGTCTTGTTTTTGCTGACTATATTGAGCTTCTCCATCTTCGGCTGCAAAGAATATAATCAGTCTGATTTCAGTATTGACCATCTGGTGATGTCCATGTGTAGAGTCTTCTCTTGTGTTGTTGGAAGAGGATGTTTGCTATGACCAGTGCGTTCTCTTGGCAGAACTCTATTAGCCTTTGCCCTGCTTCATTCTGTACTCCCAGGCCAAATTTGCATGTTACTCCAGGTGTTTCTTGACTTCTTACTTTTGCATTCCAGTCCCCTATAATGAAAAGGACATCTTTTTTTGGGTGTTAATTTTAGAAGGTCTTGTTGGTCTTCATAGACCCGTTTAACATCAGCTTCTTCAGCATTACCGGTTGGGGCATAGATTTGGATTACCGTGATATTGAATGGTTTGCCTTGGAAATGAACAGAGATCATTCTGTCATTTTTGAGACTGCATTTCAGACTCTTTTGTTGACTATGATGGCTACTCCATTTCTTCTAAGGGATTCTTGCCCACAGTAGTAGATATAATGGTTATCTGAGTTAAATTCACCCATCCCAGTCCATTTTAGTTCGCTGATTCCTAAAATGTCGATGTTCACTCTCGCCATCTCCTGGCTGACCACTTCCAATTTGCCTTGATTCATGGACTTAACATTCTAGTTTTCTATGCAATATTGCTCTTTACAGCATTGGACCTTGCTTCCATCACCAGTCACATCCACAACTGGGTACTGTTTTTGCTTTGGCTTCATCTCTTCATTCTTTCTGGAGTTATTTCTTCACTGACCTCCAGTAGCATATTGGGCACCCATTGACTTGGGGAGTTCATCTTTCAGTGTCCTATCTTTTTGCCTTTTCATACTGTTCATGAGGTTCTCAAGGCAGGAATACTGAAGTGGTTTGCCATTTCCTTCTCCAGTGGACCACATTTTGTCAGAATTTTTCAAATTGAGTTTTCCAAATTTGCTGGCGTATTTAGTGCAGCACTTTAACAGCATCATCTTTTAGGATTTTAAATAGCTCAGCTGGAATTCCATCACTTCCACTAGCTTTGTTCATAGTAATGCTTCCTAAAGCTCACTTGACTTCATACTCCAGGGTATCTGGCTCTAGGTGAGTGACCACACTATCGGGGTTATCTGGTCATTAAGACCTTTTTTGCATAATTCTTCTGTGTACTTTTGCCACCTCATCTTAATCTCTTCTGCTTCTGTTAAGTCCTTACTGTTTCTGTCCTTTACTGTGCACATCCTTGCATGAAATATTCTCTCGATATCTCTTGAAGAGATCTCTGGTCTTTCCCATTCTATTCTTTTCCTCTGTTTCTTTGCATTGTTCATATAAGAAAGTCTTCTTATCTCTCCTTGCTATTCTTTGGAACTCTGCATTCAGTTGGGTATATCTTTTTCTTTGTCCCTTGCCTTTCACTTCTCTTCTTTCCTCAGCTATTTGTAAAGCCTCCTCAGACAACCATTTTGCCTTCTTGCATTTCTTTTTCTTTGGGATGGTTTTGGTCACTGTCTCCTATAACAAATGTATGAACATCCATCCATAGTTCTTCAGGCACTTTGTCTACCGGATCTTAACCCTTGAATCTATTTGTAACCTTCCCTATATAATCAAAAGGGATTTTATTTAGGTCATACTTGAATGGCCTAGTGATTTTCCCTACTTTCTTCAATTTCATCCTTTGTAGAAGATTCAATAATGGCCACCCACAGCTGTCTGGTCCTAACCAATAGGAAAAAAAGAGCTCTGCAGATTAATTAAGTAAAGGATCTTGAGATGAGGTGATTACCCTGGATTATCCAGGTAGGCTCTAGATACAATAATATGTATAAGAGAAAGGCGTAGGCAGTTTTGAGAGATACACAGAGGAGAAAGCAATGTGGAAGCAGAGGCAGAGATTGGACTGATGAGGCTAAAAGCCAAGGAATGGCAACACTTGCCTACAAGTGACCAGAAGCTAGGAGAGAAACATGGAACAGTTCACCCCTGGAGACTCAGAAGGGAATGTGGCAATACCAACAGTTTAACACTTCTGTCTTACAGAGAATAAATTTCTGTTGGTTTAAGCAACTCAGCTTGTGGTAAACTATTATGGCAGCCCTAAGAAACTAGCAGACATCCCTTTATCCACTCCATGGGCTTCCCAAGTGGCACTAGTGGTAAAGAAGCTGCCTGCCATTTCAGGAGAAGCAAGAGATGTGCATTCAGTCCCTGGGTCAGGAAGATCCCTCAGAGGAGGTCATGACAACTCACTCCAGTATTCTTGCCTGGAGGATCCCATGGACAGAGGAGCCTGGCAGGCTATATAGTCGATAGGGTCAGAAAGAGTCAGACCTGACTGAAGCAACTTAATACGCATACATGCAATCACTCCATACACTTTTTACTTCCCTTGGGCTGATTCGCTATTGACTCATCCCAGCCTCAGTAGAGGTGGCACCCCCATCAGTCAATTTCCCTGTGGTTGCCTCCCCCAGCTCCTGCAGTACATGTTGAGCTGGACTGTGTCTATCAGGGCCGATGAGGAGGATTTGGGTGAATTCTTCCTGCCCGTTCTACCACGTTTAGCCAACCCACCAACCCAGGAGCCCCTAGTGGCCCCATAATTTTATGTATGTACACACACTCATAAAGGCCTGGTCTTCCATGGCCTCCCATTAACCTCCTGGCACCTGACCCATGGACTATTTCCTTATTCATTCCAAAAGGCGTGCTCCTCTGTTCTCTCCCTCTCCTCATCTTTTACCTCCCCAGAAACACACTTTACCAAATCCCATGCAATAAGTAACTTCCAACAGGAAGGGAGCCATAAGCTCAGCCTCATCCTCTCCCTGGAAGTAATAGTTTATCTTGTGTGTTAGCTTGACTGGGCCACAGGTTGCCCAGCTATGTGGTCAAACATTATTGTGGTGTGTCTGTGAGGGTGTGTTTGGATGAGATTAATATTTGAATCTGTAGACTGAGTAAAGCAGATTGCCTCCCTAATGTGGGTGGGCATCATCCAATCAGTTGAAGGTCTGAATAGACCAAAAAGGCTGCCATGTCCCCTCCCCTGTGCTATAAATAAGAGGGAACTCCTGCTCAAATGCTTGAGCTGGGACATCAGTCTGTTCTGGCCTTCAGACTTGAACTGTAACACTGGCTCTTCTTGAGTCTAAAGCCTGCCAGCTTTCAGAGTGGCATTTACATCATCAGTCATCCTGATTCTCAGGCCTTTGGACTTAAACATTAGCTCTCTTGGGTCTCCACCTTGCTGATGGCAGGTCTTGGGACTTTTCAGCCTTCATAATTGTGTGACCTAATTCCTTATGATAAATCTATCTATCTATCTATCTATCTATCTATCTATGCTGTTAGTTCTGTTTCTCCAGAGACCCCTTACTAATATACCAAGTCACCCATTTCCTCCTAGACATTGAGTTCCTTCTACCTTGGGCATCCTAGGATTTAGAATCAGGAGACCTGAGTTCAGATTCTGACTCTACCACTGTTCTGCTATGGTCACTTGGGCATTTGTCCATTGATGGCCTCTGTACATTGGTCTGTAAAGATGGGAATAATAATATCTTCCCTGCCACCTTGGTGGGCTACTGATGCAGTCAGCCATAACACGATGGTGGATCCATAATGATCGGTTCCATGGAGCAATCTCCCAGAGACTTGGGCCCAGATATATTCAAGTTCTAGCTACAAGGACATGATTCTGCTCTGGGTTTGGTAAGCAGGCAGTTCTGACCCTGTTCTCCAAATCAATTCACCCCCACCCCCGTCTCTCTCCCTTCATCTTTCCCTTCATCCCTCCCTCCTTCAACCTCTTCAGAGATTTGCTCAAGTCTGTCACTCAGAGTGGGCCAGGTTGTCCAGCCTCTTGACTCACAAACCTGTAAATGGAGAGCATTTCCAGGCAGCCTATTTGCATAGGCCTTTTTTGTAAGGTTGTTATTTGCTTCTGATTGCTAAGACTTCTTCCTGTTTCTTACTAAAGAGACATTATTTAACACTCAAAGGGATCTGGGTCCTAGGAGCCCTGCAAGTGTTTCTAAGACTTTGTTCCTCTCATCTTTCCATCTCTCTTCCCCTTTTCTCATTTTCCTGGGCTCTCTTTTCTGTTTCTTATAAAAACTACCCTTGGCATCTGTTAAAAAAGAATAAGAAAGCCCAGATGGCTCAGGGTTGGCCGAGGAGGGAGACTCACCTTGGGGACCTCTCATTAATTATTGCTATATCTGGTCTCCCTGGACTTCATACTCACACTGGCAGGACCCAGTTAATGCTTTGGCCTGTGGGGGACCTAGAACATTTTCCTTCGTTCTCTATCCTCAGTGTAGAAAGTATAGTTAAGGCTTTCCTACAGGTACATGAATAATAGGATAGAAATTTCATAAAATTGCATTATCTGGCTTACAAAAGAAGCTATTCCTGAGGCCCATGCCAGTCCCATTCCAGCTCCTGGCCTGCCTGCCTTCACAATGCAGGTGCCACCCATGGCGTCCATGGATCTGATAGGGCTACAGAGGTTATGTCTTACCAAAGGGCCGTCTCTAGCAGTTTGTGTTTCTGTATCTGGATCTGCCACTTCCCCAGATCAGTAACCCCAGAAGTGTCTTCTTTCTAGGAGAGAACATACCCACAGATGGAATGTCTGCAACATAGTAACCCACCATTCATATATTTGGCACACATTTGGCAGACGGACATGCTTTTTTTACATTTCTTTCCCTTTTCTTTCATCCCTCTCCTCATTGCCATCTTTCTCCTCAGTATAGACCTTGTTTCTTGCATCTCACCCAGAAGAACAAAGTCATTCCTGCTTCTACCTTCTGATGGCCCAGTGCTGGGGTGACAAAGCCTTTCAAAATGTCTTCTCTTGCCTTCAATGGGTGACTCAGTTCAGATGGTTGGCTTGCACCCCTTTCTCTAGAGTCACAGCTCTGCCCTGTTTAGCTGATATTACCAGTCATTTGCTCAAAAGCATGGCCTGAGCTCCCATCAGACCAGGCCCAGGCTAAGTGCTGGGGATTTGAGGAACTGAGTCTCTGTCTTTTAATAATCCATAGTTGAGAAGACAGGCACACAAACAGGCCAGCGTCATGTGAAGGAAGCACGGGGAACATACCCCAGAGTAGAGTTGGGGGGAAGACCAAAGAAGGCTTACAGGAGGAAATGAATTCTGACTTGAGAACTGAGTAAGGAATAAGAGTTAACCAGGGAAAAGGGAAGAGAAAGGGCTTTCCAGGCAGAAGGACCTGCATGATCAGAGCCTAGGAAATAAATGAAAGCATGACATATTCCAGGAACTGCAAGAGGTCAAACATGGCCAGAGCAAAGAACATAAGGGAAAGTAGTGACGGAGGACGAGGCACATGAGCAGGGGCCAGTTGTGGGATAGTTGGTATGCCACATCAGAAATCTGAGATTTTATTCTGAAGGCTTGAGGGAACCACAGAAGGGCTAACCTCATGAATCCTTGATTTTGATCCCAAGGCAGAGAAGGTGAGTGCCCCAGAGTTGCACACCTAGCTCACATGGCACAATAGCCTAGAGATGAAACACTAAGGCTCTGGAGCCAGACTGCCTGGACTGTAAACACTGTTCTGCCCCTTAATACATAAATGACCTTGGACAGGTTCTTAAATCTCTATAGACCTCAATTTCTTCATCTTTAAAATGGGGATAATTATAGTACCAACCTCAGAGTTCAGTTGTGAGGATGAAATGAAATAATACATGTAAAGTGCCAAATGCCTATGAAGTACTCGATGCATAGTAGCTATGAGTTTTCATTAACACACATAAATATACTCTCACTATGTGCCAGGCACTGTTCTAATTATTTACTAAATATTCCCTCAGTTAACCCTCACAACAACTCTATGACAGTTGACTAAAAGGAGCTACAAAAGCCTCTGGGAAAGTAAGGTAAAACTGATAAGGTCAGAAGTTGGCCTGAAATTGAACAAAGTTCCCATAAGGATGGAAAGTCCCCTCAGAACAGTCCCCTGCTGACAGTCCCCTCAGAAGAGAAGGTCCCCTCAGAACAGAAGATTCTGGCTGGACCGGCATGATGCCTCTGTGTGTGTGTGTGTGTCTGTGTGTATGTGTGTGTGTCTGGGAATGGGGCTGTGGTGAGAGACAGTGCCATGTACCAGGCCAATCCCATTCAGCTGTAGAGCCAGCTTGGCCTGTAAGTGATAGAACAGCTGTGAAGACTTTTAAGCTCTGGAAAGTAGAGGCCCCTTTCCTCTGTAATCTTGCTGGGTCTCACCCAAGTGAGAGATGAAAGCATATCACTAGCCCTGTCCCCTGTCAATGTGGTCTGTTTAGAAGGCCTGATCTGGGACCTGTCTGGACCAATACCTCATTCAGCCTGAAAAGTACTGCGCTCCTGTCTCCTTCCTCTACACAGTCCTCAGCTGGCCAGAGGCCCAGGCCCCCTCCCTTCCCTTTCTCAGATAGGCTGCCTCCTTCCCTGACAGGCAAGTAGTTGAAGACAAGAACATTCCCTGGGCCCTGCAAGGGGCATGCAAAGCACCATCCAACATAAGCCTTGTCACCTCTGTTATCAGTACTGAACACGTATGATTTACTGCTGGGTGAGGGCTACAGGGTGGTCCGTGTCTGGGCCCAGGTCCAGGTCTCCAGCCCTCCTTCAGCCCCACCAGCTCCCAGACAAGCAGTTCATCCAGTATCCACATTCTGAAGGGGTATAAGAGCTGGCCTGCCTCTGCTATTGCCCTGTGACTGATGTGCCCACCACATAATCTAATGCCAGCAGAGGCACAACAGGATACACCACAACCCAGGGTTGTATAACCCAGTACATGAGAAAGGAAAGGATGCATGTCAGAGACTCATGTGAATTTGTGCAGGGGTATGTGTCTCTCTGTGTGTGCACCTGTGTATCTTTGTGTCTGGAGTTGTTTTTCTGTGCCACTGTGTGAATACGTGCTTGTGTTGCCCTGCATCTCCATGCATGGCCATAATCAGCGTATCTTTTCCTTTTTTTTCTCTCTTAAATATAGTTGATACAATGTTGTGCTAGTTTCAGGTGTACAGCAAAGTGACTCACATACACACAGACACATGCATATATATATGAATTATATATTCCTTTTCAGATTATTTTCCATTATAGGTTATTACAAGATATTGAGTATAGTTCCCTTTGCTATACCAAGTAGGGCCTTGTTTTTATCTATTTTAAATATAACAGTATGATCTCTAATCCGAAACTCCTAATTCATCCCTTCTCCCTTTCCCTGCTGGTAACCATAACATTATTTTCTATGTGTGTGAGTCTGTTTCTGTTTTGTAAATAAGTCCATTTGTGTAATTTTTTTTAGATTCAACAAATAATGGATATATGATATTAATTTTTCTCTTTCCGACTTACTTCACTCTGTATGACAATGTTTAAGTCCATCCATGTTGCTGCAAATGGCATTATTTTGTTCTATTTATGGCTGTGTAGTATTCCATTCTGTATGTATATCTCATCTTTTACATCCATTCATCTGTCAATGGATACTTAGGTTGCTTCCATGTCTTGACTATCAAAAATGGTGATGCTATGAATATTGAGATGAATGTATCTTTTTTCTTTCTTTGTTAAATTATGAAACTATGATAATGCATTTACAGGAGACTGAAAAATATAGAACAAAGTAACATATAATTCCACTATATATTTTAACTATTTTTAAGTAGTTAAATTCATATTTTTAGTTGGAGTTTCAATATAAAATTCTCAAAAATTAATAGAATGAGTAGACAGAAAAGTAGAAGGATATAGTAGACCTGAAAAGCACTATGAACCAACTCAATGTAATTAAGATTTATACAAATTTCACATAGCAGTAGGATACAAATTCTATTCAAGTTCCCATAGATTATAAACCAGGAGACACTGAAACATATCCGGGGACATAACACAAGGTGCAAAAATTTCATAATCTAAAGGTACTGAAATCCTAAGTCGGTTCTCTTATCACTGGGGAATTATGTTAGAAATCAATATCAAAAGATATTTGAAAATAACCCACATAATTTCAAGTGCAATGTGACATTTATCAAGAGAGATCTTTGACTTAGCTATTGAAAGCCTCAATAAAGTTAAAAGAATGAAAAAACACAGAGGGTGATTGCAGAGAACAAAGCATTTAAATCAGAAATCAATATCAAAATGAGAGATTAATATCAAAGATACTTTTAAAATCTAAATAAGGATGCAAGTATCTTTTTGAATTAAAGTTTTCATCTTTTCCAGCTTCATATGGCTGGAAAGTTATATGAGAGCAAGGAGTGGGCTTGCCAGTTCATATAGTAACTATTTTTAGTTTTAGTTTTTTTTTTAAAGCACATTTTAACACACATTTTGAGGAACATTCTGCTGGAGCCATTGAACACATTATGCCCAGACAGCTGCTGGTTTACGACAAAAAAGCACTGTTTTTATCATCAGGCAATGGACTCTTCTGACATCCCTGATCCTCCCTTCACTCCTGAATTCCTTCATTAATCTCCATCACAGCTAGGGTCACCAATAAAGTGAGGTGAAGTGGGTAAGTTCGGGGATGCCCTTTTCTATTTTTTCTAGTAAAACATTAATGTGCATTTATTGCTATTTCTATAGTGAAGGGCCAAGACTTTTACTTGAAGCAAGACAGTTCCAGAAAAACATCTATTTCTGCTTTATTGACTATGCCAAAGCCTTTGACTGTGTGGATCACAATAAACTGTGGAAAATTCTGAAAGAGATGGGAATACCAGACCACCTGACTTGCCTCTTGAGAAACCTGTATGCAGGTCAGGAAGCAATAGTTAGAACTAGACATGGAACAACAGACTGGTTCCAAATAGGAAAAGGAGTACATCAAGGCTGTATATTGTTACCCTGCTTATTTAACTTATGTTCAGAGTACATCATGAGAAACGTTGGGCTGGAAGAATCACAAGCTAGAATCAAGATGGCAGGGAGAAATATCAATAACCTCAGATATGCAGATGACACCACCCTTATGGCAGAACGTGAAGCAGAATTAAAGAGCCTCTTGATGAAAGTGAAAGAGGAGAGTGAAAAAGTTGGCTTAAAGCTTAACATTCAGAAAACTAAGATCATGGCATCTGGTCCCATCACTTCATGGCAAATAGATGGGGAAACAGTGGAAACAATGGCTGACTTTATTTTTCTGGGCTCCAAAATCACTGCAGATGGTGATTGCTACCATGAAATTAAAAGACGCTTACTCCTTGGAAGGAAAGTTATGACCAACCTAGACAGCATATTAAAAAGCAGAGACATTACTTTTCCAAAAAAGGTCTGTCTAGTCAAGGCAATGGTTTTTCCAGTGGTCATGTATGGATGTGAGAGTTGGACTGTAAAGAAAGGTGAGTGCTGAAGAACTGATGCTTTTGAACTGTGGTGTTGGAGAACACATTTGAGAGTCCCTCAGACTGCAAGGAGATCCAACCAGTCAATCCTAAAGGAGATCAGTCCTGGGTGTTCATTGGAAGGACTGATGTTGAAGCTGAAACTCCAATACTTTGGTCACCTGATGTGAAGAGCTGACTCATTTGAAAAGACCCTGATGCTGGGAAAGATTAAGGGCAGGAGGAGAAAGGATGACAGAGGATGAGATGTTTGGATGGCATCATCGACTCAATGGACATGGGTTTGGGTAGACTCTGGGAGTTGGTGATGGACAGGGAGGCCTGGCATGCTGCAATTCATGGGGTTGCAAAGAGTCAGACATGACTGAGAGACTGAACTGAACTGAACTGATGGATCTTTTTTGGTGTGCATAAAATACGTCCATAATGCATATTTTATGATTTCCAATTTTTTCAGTTTTATTGAGAAATAATTGACATACATCACTTTATAAGTTTAATGTATACAGCTTATGGTGTGATTTAATTATATTGTGAAATGTTTTCCACAATAGATTCAGCTAGCATCCATTATCTCATGTTTTTGTTCAGTTGCACAGTCATGTCCAACTTTTTGTGACCCTATGGACTGCAACACACCAGACTTCCCTGTCCTTCACCATTTCCTGGAGCTTGTTCAAACTCATGTCCATTGAGTTGATGATGCCATCCAACCATCTCATCCTCTGTCACCCTCTTCTCCTGTCTTCAGTTTTCCCCAACATCAGGGTCTTTTCCAATGAGTCGGCTCTTCACATCAGGTGGCCAAAGTATTGGAGCTTCAGCTTCAGTATCAGTACTTCCAATGAATATTAAGGGTTGATTTCTTTTAGGATGGACTGGTTTGATCTCCTTGCAGTCCAAGGGACCCTCAAGAGTCTTCTCCAGCACCATAGTTCGAAAGCATCAATTTTTCAGTGCTCAGCCTTCTTTATGATCCAATTCTCACATCCATACATGACTACTGGAAACACCATAGCTTTGACTATATGGACCTTTGTCAGCAAAGTAATGTCTATGCTTTTTAATATGCTGTCTAGGTTTGTCATAGCTTTTCTTCCAAGGAGCAAGCATCTTAATTTCATGGCTACAGTCACTGTCTGCAGTGATTTTGAAGCCAAAGAAAATAAAATCTGTCACTGTTTCCATTTTTTCCCCCATCTATTTGCCATGAAGTGAGGTCTTAGTTTTTCGAATGTTGAGTTTTAAACCAGCTTTTCACTCTCTTCTTTCACCTTCATCAAGTGGCTCTTTAGTTCCTCTTCACTATCTGCCACTAGGTTGGTGTCATCTGCATATCTGAAGTTAATGATATTTCTCCTGGCAATCTTGATTCCAGCTTGAACTTCATCCAGCCTGGCATTTTGCATGATGTACTCTGCATATAAGTTAAATAAGCAGAGTGACAATATACAGCCTTAACGTATTCCTTTCCCAATTTTGAATCAGTTCGTTGTTCCATTTCCAGTTCTGACTGCTACTTTTGACCTGCATACAGGTTTCTTAGGAGGCAGGTAAGGTAGTCTGGTATTCCCATCTGTTTAAGAATTTTCCATAGTTTGTTGTGATCCACACAGTCAAAGGCTTTAGCACAGTCAATGAAGCAAAAATAGACAAGATGGACAGGTCATGGTGGAGAGTTCTGATGAAATATGTTCCACTGGAGGAGGAAATGGCAAATCACTTCAATATTCTTGCCTTAAGAACCCCATGAACAGTATGAAAAAGCAAAAAGATATGACACTGGAAGATGAACCCTCTAGGTTGGTAGGTGCCCAATATGCTACTAGAGAAGAGCAGAGAAACAGCTCCAGAAAGAATGAAGAGACCAAGCCAAAGCAGAAACAATGCCCAGTTGTGGATGTGTCTGGTGGTGAAAGTAAAGTCTGATGCTGTAAAGAACAATATTGCATAGGAAACTGGAATGTTAGGTCCACAAATCAAGGTAAATTGGAAGTGGTCAAACAGGAGATGGCAAGATTGAACATTGACATTTTAGGAATCAATGAACAAAAATGGAAGGGAATGGGTGAATTTAATTCAAACGACCATTATATTTACTACTGTGGGCAAGGATCACTTAGAAGAATTGGAGTACCCCTCAGAGTCAACAAAAGTTCCCAAAATGCACTACTTGGGTGCAATCTCAAAAACTACTGAATTATCTCAGTTCATTTCCAAGGCAAACCATTCAACACCACAGTAATCCAAGTCTATGCCCCAACCACTAATGCCGAAGAAGCTGAAATTTTATACCAGTACTATAATATTTTGATAATTATAGCTTTATAGCACAACCTGAAACCAGGAAGTATGATGACTCTAACTGTGTTCTTTCTCGGGATTTCTTCAGCTGTTCAGGGTCTTTTGTGGTTCCATATAAATTTTATGAGTGTTTTTTTTTTCTACTTCTGTAAATAGTGTCATTGGAATCTTGATAAATAAGCTTTGAATCTATAGGGGTTTTTTTGGCAGTTAGGTAGTATCAACATTTGTTTTTTGGTAGTATTGACATTTTAACAACATTGGTTCTTCCAATCCACGAACCCGGGATACTCTCCCATTTATTTGTGTCCTCTTCAGTTTCTTTCATCAATGTCTTACAGTTTTCAGAGTAGTGAGTGATCTTTCACTTTCTTGGTTAAATTTATTCCTAAGTATTTTATTGTTTTCAATGTTATTGTAAATGAAATCAACTTCTTTTTCAGAAAATGTGTTTTGTATAGAAATGCTACTGATGTTAATTTTTTATCCTGCAGGGTTAGTGAATCCATCGATTCGATCTAATGGGGTTTTTTTTGGTGAGTCTTTAAGATTTTCTAAATATAAAATTATGTCATCTGCAAATAAACACAATTTTGCTTCTTCTTACACAATTCTAATAACTTTTATTTCTTTTTTGCCCAAATACTCTAGCTAAGACTTCTTGCATTATGTTGAATATATGTTGAATTGAGTGGTGAGAGTGAACACACTTATCCTGTTCTTTATTTTTTTTTCTTGTTCTTGATCCTAGAGGAAAAGCTCTCAACCTTTTACCATTTAGTAGAATGTTAGCTATGGGCTTTTCATATGTGCGTGCATGCTGAGTCACTTCAGTCGTATCCAATTCTTTGTGACCCTATGAACTGTAGCCCTCCAGGTTCTTCTGTCTACGGGATTCTCCAGGCAAGGGCACTGGAGGGGGGTTTCCATGCCCTTCTTCAGGGGATCTTCCTGACCCAGGGATCAAACCTGTGTCTTTTACGTCTCTTGCATTAGCAGGTGGGATCTTAACCACTAGTGCTACCTGGGAAGCTCTGCAAGCTTTTCATGTACAGCCTTTATTATATTGAGACACACTCCTTCTATGCTTAATTTGTTAAAGATTTTTATTATGAATACATGTTGGATTTTGTCAAATGCTTTTTCTGCATCTTGAGATGATCATATGATTATTTCATTCTATTAACATGATGTATCACATTTATTGATTTGTGTATGTTGAGCCATTCTTGCATCCCAAGGATAAATCCCACTTGATCATGTTGCATGATCCTTTGATGTGTTGCTGAATTTGGTTTGCTAGTATTTTATTGAGAAGTTTTGCATCTATATTCATCAGGGGTATTGGCCTATAGTTTTCTTTCCTAGTAGTATCCTTTTCTGGTTTTGGTATCAGGATAATGCTGGCCTTGTAAAAGGATTTGGGAAATATTTCTTCCTTTTTGTTTTTTGGGGAAAATTTGAAAAGGGTTAGGGTTAGGGTTAAGGACTAACTGACTGAAAAGGGTTGGTATTAATTCTTCTTTAATTGTTTGGTAAAACTCACCAATGCAGCCATTTGATCCTGGGCTTTTTTCCTTCATTGGGAGATTTTTGATTACAGATTTAATCCCCTTACTAGTAATTAGTCTATTGAAATTTTCTAGTTCAATCTTATTCAGTCTTGGTAAGTTATATATTTCTAAAACTTTTTCCATTTCTTTTAGGTTGACCAGTTTATTGGCATATTGCTGTTCATAGCAGCCTCCTATGATCCTTTGTATTTCTGTAATATTAGTTGTAATGTCTCCTTTTTATTTATAATTTTGTTGATTTGGGTCCTATCCCCTTTTTCCTTGATTAGTTTAGCTAACAGCTTGTCAACTTTATCTTTTCAAAGAATCAACTCTTAGTTTGGTTGATCTTTTTTGTTTCCTCTTTTATTTATTTCTTCTCTCATGTATATCAGTTCCTTTCTTCTGCTAACTTTTGGCTCAGTTTGTTTTTCTTTTTCTAGTTCCTTAAGGTGTAGTGTTAGGTTGCTTATGGAATCCTTCCTGTTTCTTAATGTAGATGTTTAATGCTATGAACATCCCTTTCAGAATTGTTTTTACTGCATCCCATAAATTCAGGTCTGTTGTGCTGCAATTTCCATACATCTCAAGAGAGTCCTTCATGTCTGCTTTAATTTCTTCTTTTTATCCCTTTGTTGTTCAGGAGGCTGCTGTTTTATTTCCATGTATTCATGAATTTTCCAGTTTTCCTCTTAATAATTTCTAGTTTCATTCCACTGTGGTCAAAGAAAATAGTTGGTATGATTTCAATTTTCTTGAACTTGCTAAGAGTGGTTTTGTGGCCTAATATATGGTTTTTCCTCAAAAATTTTCTGTGAGCACTTGAGAAGAGTGCATTCTGATGTGGCTGGATAGAATTTTCTATATATGTATGCTAGATAAATTTTGTCTATAGTGCTGTTCAAATCTGCTTTTTCCTTATTGATTGTCTATCTGGAAGATCTATCCATTGTTGAGAGCAGGGTATTAAAGTCCCCAGTCATTGTTATATTGCTGTTTATTTCTCCTTTTAGCTCTGTTAGTTTTTGTTTTATATATTTAGGTGCTTTGATATGAGGCACATAAATATTTATAATTGTTACATCTTCTTGATGAATTTGACCCCTTTATCATTTTGTCATGACTTTGTCTCTTTTTACTATCTTTAGTTTAAAACCTATTTTGTCTAGTATAATTATAGATATCTTGATTTTTTAAAAATACCATTTATTTGAAGTGACTTTTTCCATCCATTCACTATGTCTATTTGCATCTTTAAGGCTAAAGCAAATTTCTTATAGGCAGCATATCATTGGATCTTGTTTTTTTTAATCTATTTAGCCATTCTATGTCCTTTGATTGGAGAATTTAATCCATTTATATTTAAAGTAATTATTGATAGGTAAGGACTTACCATTATAATTTTTTAAAGAACTTACTGTTATTTTATTCATTGTTTTCTGGTTGTTTTGAAGATATACTCTTCCTTATTTCTTGTTCTGCTATCTCCTTTTCATGTTTTGATGTATTTTGGTATCAGTATGCTTTGATTTCTTTATCATGTGCTTCTGTTAAATGTTCTTTTTATGTAAAAATCTGTAGAAGTTTTCTTCTTACAGTTACCATGAAGCATACATAAACTATCTTAAAATTGTTACACCTTATTTTAAGCTAATAATAACTTATGGATAACAACTAGCTATGATTATACTTACTACATTCATTTTTTAACTTTTAAACTAGAGTTGTAAGAGAATTATTCACTACCATTATCAAATTACAGGATCTAACTTGGGATGTCCTATTCAAATAGAACTTGATAATAATCATCATTTTTAAGGTGAAAATTTAATGCTTTAATTTTAGGCCTTATAAAAACATCTGTGTCAAATCCACCCCATTAAAGCAGTCAGAACAAAATATTCCTGGTGTCCAAGTGAATTCATATAAGCAATCAAGTCAAGATGTTGTGTGTGTGTGTGTGTGTGTCTGAGTCTCTGAATGAGTATATGAGTGTCACTGGCTACATGTTCTTTTTGTGAACATTGGGCCAGTCCAGGCACCTGTAGGCTGGGGGCCTTGTTCAGTGTATGCAGTGTGTGTCCATGTGGAGAAAGGTGCCCATTGTTATTGCCTACAGCAATAGCCCATTAGAGTGTTCCCACACTTTTCCAGGGTGTGGAACTGAGGTTAATCGATGGGAAGATGAGCTACTATTTGTACCTCCATCCTCACTGTTCAGCTAGCCTTCCAAAAATAATCCCTCTAGTGGGAGATCATAAAATGTTTCATAAAAGCGAAGGAAGCCTGGGGCCAGTCGTATTCATACTATAAATTCCATTAGGGAGAAATGGATTTGAGGACTGTGGGTGTTGTGGGAACCCAGTCTTTCAAGATTTTAAGATGGAGAGAAGCCAGAAACCCAACCTCCTCAACTGTCAGCACACTGGCATCCTAAGCAGTCTGGAGGAACTGAGGCTGGAAAGGTGGAATAGGACTGGTCAGGGAGAGTACAGGCAGACTTGAAGTGGGCCTGGCTGACCATGAGGGCTCAGTCCTGGGCTGTGGGCAAGCTTCAGGGCACATGGACTGGGCCCAATTCAAAGATGAGGCTGGCTCTGATGTCATGAACCATCCCTGCTGTACCTTTGCTATGAGTGGGACTCTTAATTCTCCTGCCTTCATGATTACAGTTATCTCCCCTGATCTCCCTGCAGCTCTTCTTGCCCTCTCATGTCCACAACCCACACAAGCATCCAGAGTGAGCCTTCCAAAAAACAGGCCCAATCTTGTCACTCGCAACCTAAAACCCTCTGCTTGTTCCCTTGAGTCTATGGCAGCAGTCCCCAAATTATGTGGCTTTGGATGATCATTGGGATCTGGAGACAAAAAGGGTTCCAAGGGCAAATATGTTAGGAAAATGCTTCATTCTTTATTATAGAGCAGATCAGCATCTGTACTATGCTAATATGTATGTCATCTATCCCGTATTTCTCATAGGACATAACACTCAGCAGAACCCAGTTTGAGAAACACTGGCTCCGAATGCCATTTACAATCTGGTGCTTGCTTACACTTCCAGTTCCCTTGTCTTTACTCATGCTGTCCGCTCAACTGGAATACCTTCCTTGGCCTTCCCATTGTCACCTAACTCATACTCACCTTTGAAGACATTTAGATTGTGCCTCCTCTATGAAACCTACTCTGGCTTCCCCCACCCACTCTTCGTCCTTTACTCTCTAGGCTGTGCCTATGTCTGACTTGTGAGTTATTGCCTTGTATTGAACAATTTCCATATTTGCCTCCCGCATGGGATTTTGAACTCCTTGTAGGCAATCTGGGCTTTATTCAACTCTGGGCCCAGAACCCAGTCTTGATGAATGCTAGATGGAGAGATGGGACAGAAAGAGCAATAAAGAAAGGAGAAAGAGAGCTTAAGAGGAGTAGAGAGAGGGAATGAGAGAGAAAAAGCAAGTATATGAAAGCTTTGGTCAGGAAGCCCTTATAGTGCCCCAGTTTCTATGTGCCAAGCTAATGGATTTGAAATAGAAGAACAGAACATTATATAAGATGCTCTATGCAGCTTTTCTAGAAATGGTCGATGGCTCTTGGCTTATTGGCATCCAATGAGGCTGCAGCCCACACATGTTTCCACTCAAGCCAGCCCTCATGTGCCCTCCAGCACACCTGCTGCCCACGTAAGCCCTTGCCCCTGGTCTACTCTGGCTTTTGGGCCCTCTTTGGCACCCCTTCCCTGGTTTTTTCAGGACTTTGCCCTAGTGGCTATGAGTAGGTTTCTGTCCTTCTGGGGATGGGAGCAAGATGGAGGGGAGATAAGAAAAGGCTCAGTGAATGTTGGGAAAGGCAGTCTCCTGCAGCTGTCCACCCCCCTACCCGCACTGGGTCTTGTGCTTGGAATGCTGTGCTGGGCTTACGGCCTTGTGAGGGACTCTCTCCATTCCAGGCTTTATGTACTTTCCTTTGTTCTGCTTAATCCCTGACATCAGTGACCCTCAAGTATGCCCCCAACTTTCTGTATTTCAGCCCCTGGAGGCAGGGAGGGGAAGAATGGGGTTCTTCTACTGCAGCATGAAGTGTAGCACCTGTAGTCATGCTTCAGAACAGATCCTCCAGCCCTGGGGGACCCACACTCTGCAAGGGACTGAATCTTGAGAACTCTTTCTCCTCTCTTGCTATAAGTAAAACCTGGCATGCCTGTCCTCTGTTGTCTTACCCTGGTGGCACTTATTTGCTTTTTAACCTTGGCTGCACAGCCTGAGCACCCCATGAACAATGACACGGAGAGACATCTCCATACATTGGTTGCTGGTTTTCACCCCCTGCGTGTAGGCAAACCAGGATAGCACAAGGCTGAGGTCTTGGCAAGAACCCCACTTGGAAAGAGACATCATCTCAGATGTTTACAAACTTTTTGGCCATGTTGTCAGGGCAACTCTGTGACACTTTCCTGGAGGCTGTCTAGGAGGAGGGCTGCAGTCCAAGAAAGGCTGACTGGAGGCCATGCTTCTGACTGTACCCCACCCTAGGGCTGGGCTTCCTGCCTCAGCAACAGCCACCTGCTGTACCCCCTTGCTGAGGTTCACTTCCTTGCAGAAGTCTTGATAGCAGTAAGCTCACCCAGCTGCTTCTGAAACTATCCTGGGGCTAAGATCCTTGCTTTCTGTAAGTTCTTGATCCTATTCATTCTTCTGTTCACATTTGCTTGAGCCAGGGAACAGAGTCTGGACTGTGTGTATGACTTTGTGTGTGCACACATGAGTATGTGTGTGCAACACACATGTCCATGGGCACATGTGTATATGCATAGGCCTACCCATACCCAGGAGAGGGCCAGGGGCTTCTTCTCAGGGAACAGGAGCCCAGAAGGCCCCACATCTACCCTCTGATGGAGAGTGTGGAGGGCATACCCTGGTTCAGCCTCCTAGATCCTGTGGGCTTAGAAAAAGAGCTGGTTGTGGAGGTCTTGCTCAGGGTCACATAGTTGAGAAGCAAAAGAGTTGAGTTGAGACCCCCCCACAACTTCATGGCTCCTGACTCATGGAGTAGGGTTTTTTCTACTACCCCAGAGCAGACAAAAGCACCTTCATCCTGCCTATCGCTGAAGCACTGATGAGAACCACAGAAGCCAGTGGATAGAGCAATGCATGCTGATGCTAAGTCACTTCAGTCGTGTCCGACTCTGTGTGACCCCATAGACGGCAGCCCACCAGGCTCCCCTGTCCCTGGGATTCTCCAGGCAAGAACATTGGAGGGGGTTGCCATTTCCTTCTCCAATGCATGAAAGTGAAAAGTGAAAGTGAATTCACTCAGTTGTGTCTGACTCTTAGCAACCCCACAGACTGCAGCCTACCAGACTCCTCCGTCCATGGGATTTTCCAGGCAAGAGTATTGGAGTGGGGTGCCATTGCCTTCTCCAAGAGCAATGCATAGTTGGATGTAAAGGATTGTGTGGCTGTGAGAGATGACTCTTAGATACTGTCCCTCCCTGGGTGTCTGGTGGAGTGTTGAACTCCTGGAGGGCACTCAATCTTGTCTATTTGCTTGCCACTGCCAAGGCACCAGCTTGACAAATCTCTCCTTACATCCTGCTACTTCTCTCTGCACCCAGCTGCCCAAGCTGCAGTGGCTGTGAGGGCTGCTTCTTCAGAGCTCCGAGAGCAGGGCTATGTGGTACTGTCAGTTCCCTGTAGCCCTTCTTTTCTTCCCCCTTTACCTTCTCATTCTTGATCTCCAGACTTCGGTCTTGGCCAGTTAACCCCAATCACAGCTGGAAGGCTTTGGGTTAGACCAGGGGTTCTCAGCCCTGGCACTATAGATGTTTGGGGGTGGGGAAATTCTTTGTTATGGAGCCTGTCCTGTGTTCTAAGCAGCAGCATCCCTGGCCTCTCTGCCATTCCGTGTGCCACTAGCACATGCCCCTCCCTCCCGCCCCCTAGTTGTGACAATCAAAAACATTTCCAGATATTGTCAAATGTCCCCTGGGAGGCAAGACTGCCTTCCATTGAGAAGAACTGGGTTAGACTGAAGGCAGCTACTGTGGTTCTGCTTCCCTCTCCTGGAAAGGCTGCCATGTGGTGGGCTAGTGCAGCTCCAAAGCTCCCAGTACCTCTCTGATGGCTTTTCTCTACCACGTTCCTTTCCTGTTTCCACTAAAACCCATAACTCCAAGGCTAACACTTGTTGGCCTGGACACTCCCATCCACACAAGACCTCAGGACTCAGGTGGCCTGGGGTGAGAGATGGTGGGAGGGAAGGGGACAGAGGCTGGCAGAGGACACTGGGATTCACCAGTATATCGGTAGTAAAACTAGATTTTCAATGCCAAGTCTTAGGCCAATGCATCACTTACATTTTGTAGCCCAGCTGCATCTTTTTAAGACTTTGCCTGTCTTGCTAGGTGTTCACACCATGGCTGAGCCCCAAGTTCCTAGCTTTCTCCTCTTGAAATTCCTAAAGAATTAAATGAAAAATCTCCCTCTGGGCATGTAGGGGCAAGCCTCTGCTCCAGATCCATCCCTACATGCGTGCTAAGTTGCTTCAGTCATGTCTGACTCTGTGCAACCCTATGGACTACAGTCTGCCAGGCCCCTGTGTCCATGGGATTATCCAGGCAAGAATAGTGGAGTGGGTTGCCGTGCCCTCCTCTGGGGGATCTTCCCAACCCAGGGATAAAACCCATGTCTCCCTCATTGCAGGCAGATTCTCTACCATCTGAGCCACCAGAGGTTTTGTGAGCATCTAATGAGAAAACAGATAGGCAAACTGTGTCAACTACACTGAAGAGGGGCTGGGTTTCATTTCTATGACTCCCCCTCCTTGCCCTGGGCCCTGTCTCCCTTCTCAGCACCCTGCCCCTTCACCCCCCATCTTTGTCTCCCCTCAACTCTGCTTCCCCTCCTCATAAAGCTGTCACAGGCCAGGACATGGCCATTTCCTCTGACTACACCATCAGTGCTTGTTTATGCTGATGTTTTTCTGTGACCTGGACAACATGTCCCACTCCAGGGACAAGCTGGAGCCACTGGTTCAGCTGAACTCCACCCCCTGGGGGAGCTTGTTGGAAGGAGGCCAGTCTTAGGCCAGGCTCAGTTCTTCCCCGGCCCCTCAGAGGAGAAGCTGGGAGCTGGGGGCCCTGCCTCCCATTCAGGAGCTTGGGGCCATAAATCACTGTCATCTGACAGCAAGGAGTTTGTCTGAGGTCATAGAAGCCAGTTAGAGGCCCTGACAGGAACTTGCTTGCCTCTTTGGACTAGGAAGTAAAGCTGGGGTAGAGCTGGGAAATGATAAGGGGTGTCCACATTCTTGTTCAATGCGCCCAAAGGGAAATGTAGAAATGGACACCCGGCTGTGCAGGCCTCAGGACCTCTCTCCCCCTGAGCAGAGGTGTTTTTACTCATTTATAGCTTCTGTGTTACCCTCTGCCAGGTCCAGCTTGTTATTAGTTTTGTAGGCCTAGCATCTAGGGCCCACGAAAAAATTTTAACTTTATTTTATTATCAGAAGAGAAAAATGAATATAATGCCAATGGATATATTTATAATGATTAGTCCAGCCCAGACAATATTTATCTTTATATCAATGCAATTTTAAAATATTGCTCAGGAAGGAAGGGCCTATGAAGACAAAAGTAGGCAGGGCCTTGAAAGTCCATATGCTGCCCCAGTCTCTGCTCAATCCCAGGCCTTTTCCATTAGCTTGAGGTAACATCCACCTGTCCAGAGGCTGCAGCAGCCCAAGGCCGCCCTATGGCCCTTCTCGGGCAGGGCAGGAATCCTAGGGGCAGGCAAACCAACCCCCAGCAGCCTGTGGAAGTGGCCTGGGGCAGAGGAAAGTAACTTCCAGGACTAGTGTGCATCCATGCAGCCCTACCCCTCTGCCCTCCATTCTGGTTTCAGCTTTCCTCAAATGCTTTTCCCCCCTTGTTCAATAGCTCTCATGCTTGTGACCACTCCTTGTTCCCTCTCCACCATTCTAGCAGACACACTGACACTACCAGCAAGAGGTGGGAGCATCCTCTCACTTCACTCTCAGGGGGTAGTGGGAAAAAGACAACCTTGGGAGTCTGGGCGGAAGTCCCAGCTGAGCTACTTGCTTGCTGTGAACTCCAGGGTAAGTCTCCTTGCCTCTCAGACTCTCAGATCTCCATCCAGGAAAATGGGATGATAACAATGCACAGGGGACTTTTGAAGTTAAAGGATATCCTGTGTGGGCCGGGTATAGAGTCAGCAATCAGTATCCATGTGCTCTCTCCTGGGTGGAGGAAGGTTGTTGCCGTCCTTACTCAACCTTCCCCAGGTTCCTTCGAGCTCCAGGGCCCCTTCCCATTCCCACAACCCCAATTTCATGTTCTTTCATGTCTCTTTGCTCCTACACACAAACATTCAATTGCATTCAGCACACACTCCCTGAGCTCCCTGACGCTGGCTCTTCTAGACCAGACCCGGTGCTGGCCACTGGAACTACAGAGACACCTCTCACTTGGCCCCTATCCTGGATGTCATAACCTAGATGAAGAAATGAGTTTGTACATTTGAGGTCAGTTTTATGTGATAAAACTCCACTCAAAAAATACTTCATGAGCTCAGAGGCAGGCTGGCTGGGGGAGGCTAGCTGAGCCTGGAAGGGTGTAAACAGAGAGGATAGAAGAGGGCAAACCAAGTTGCAGGGGGTGGGACTTGGACAGCAAGGCCTTGGAGTAAAGGAGCCTACACAGTAAACACAGGGAAGTGGTCCCTTTCTGCCTAGGACTATACTGGGCACTGTACTGGATATGTGGGTTCCTTGCAACACCCTAGAGAGGTAGGCATCTTGAACCCATTTTACAGATGAGGCTCAGAGAGTCAAGTTCACACTGCTAACAAGTAGCAGAACCAGGACTTGATCCCACTTCTGTGTCTCCAGATGCCTTCCCTGGACCTCCCAGCTTCCTCAAGCTGGGCACTATGAAGGACTCAGAGATGAATCTCACCAGGATCTGGAT